CGACTGCAGAGAGCCAGACCAACCCCAAACTTTTAGGAAACGTATGCTTTGTCGATGCTAGTATCACTCTGTGTCTCTGTCCAGCAGCAGAACCCATATCCTAATTAATAAAGCTTTGCCAATAGCCCTGAAGACCATTTTCAAAACTCCAGAGCCTTCTCCATTGTTCAGATGCAACGAACCTAAGTTTATCAAGCACCTACTATGTGTCTAAAGTCTCCTAGGAGTATCTTTACAGCCTCCTGGGAGGTGTGTCCCCATATCATTTTTGTAAAACCAGCATATTGACATAGAATGCAAAACGGCATAGTCAGCAAAGGTGAAATGGAAAGATTTAAGAAATGTTTAACTAAGATCACAAAGGAGGCAGGGAAAAGTCCATGTTTGCTAGCAAATAATCTAAGCAGAAAGGAGGCCACAGAGCATATTGCAAGTGGGTCAGGGAGTGGGGTCAAAGGCCCAGGGGTGCGGAGCATCACTGTCCCTTCCCCCAGGAGAGAAGGTGATATAAAGAAACCACCGGGAGGGAGCCCACTTGCTCTCTGTGAGCACCCAGTCATGGGGGACGGGGGAACGGAGTAGACTGAAGCATTGATGAAGATGGTGCCGCCCAGCAGAACCAGGGAGGGGTGTTCTGGACCAAACAGGTGCTCCCCTGGGTCCCTTCGGCACTGACATTCTGCTCTGGTTTGAAACTGCTGAGGTGGGGAAAAACTGGGAAGAAAGAAATGAATTCAAAGAGACCAGGTGTCATCCTGCGATGCTGAGGTGGCAGAGCGAATGTCCCGTGCGGGGTGAGGTGGGGCGGAGAGTGTCTAGAGCGGGAGTACAATGTCTAGATCCCCTGCCACTGTCGGAGAGGAAGGAAATGAATGTGGCTTAATTATAATGACAGGATGACAGCAATGACATTATGAGGAGAGAATCGGAAAAGTGCTAAGCCCATTTAAAAAAATGAGAACTGTCTCCTCCATCGAGTTCTCCCTGGAGAGCTCCCCGAGACAGGGTTGTGCCCTTGACCTGAGACTGAGACCTTCCCGAAAAAGGAACTCCGCCTCCTAGCAGTTCTTCCTTCCTTCAGGGGTCCCTCAGTGGTCTGGGGAAGGTTCAGGCCACAGTGAGGGCTCCATCTGCAGCCTTTAGTCACTGGCTGGTGGCTGACAGGGCCTGTCTCTATCTTTCCACAGCCCCTATGACCATCAGACCTGGGACTCCCTCAGGGTGCCACCCACAGGGGTAGTCTGCAAATCCTCAGCATATAGTTGGGGTCTAAAGGAAAGGCATTCAGTACGTGCCTGTTGAAATGGGGACACCCCTTCTCAGGTGCCACAAAGAGGGCCAGAGTGGCCAGCATCACCAACACAAAGGAAATGTACAAAAAGATGTGAGGAGTCCACTCACCACACCTCAGGGTGAGCCCTTGTAGAAGGCCACAGGAGACCCACATGCAGAGGGCAGGGAGATCGGGCCAGGGGTTGGCTTGCCCCTGGCCCAGAACAACATCCCAGAATGGAAGTTAGACATAAAACCAGGCAGCTGGAGACACTGCAGGTCACCTACACCCACAGCTAATCACAATACTCATTTTAGCCAACAGTTTCCACCTCTTCTTATTGCAATTTTTATCAGAACTGAGAAAAGTGGGCAAGATTAAAAATACTTAGTTTTCCTGCAACCTCTGAGGAATTAGCCAAGTTATAATGAGATATTTGGTGCCAGAGAACAGAGAGGAGAAGCAATAGAAGGCTTCTGGATAATCCATGCTACAGCTAATACACTGCAACAGAATAACCAAAAAAAATACTATTACTGATACATGTAAAATTCAATGGAAGAGGAAAAAAAATCACAATGTAACCAGTACTTCAAAAGCCCACTGGCTTGCTGTCTCCCTACATCCCCGGGGTAACAAAGAAGGGAGATGTGCACTGATCCCTTAGCATAAATGCAGGCTCTTGTCAGTGCTCCCTGTCACCAGTGATCCCAGTTCTGGGGTCAGCCCAGTCCTGTGAGGCATGCAGTAAAAATGTAAGTGTGCACATGCACACACGTAGGCAAAACAAGATAAAAGAGAACCCCACAAATCTAATAAGACATCAGCATTTGTTCTGAACAGAGGTTGTTCTGAAGGTGAGTTTACAAAGCTAATTGCCATCACATTACACAGAGCGCAATAACTATGCTGTTAGTCCAAGAATTTGTCAGAGCGTCACATAGAACGTGGAACAGCTCTAACTGTGACAGGTTGCTGAAAAATGGCTGGTTTCTGAAGCACCTGGTCCCCGGAGTCTGTACCATAATCTCGTTCTTCAAATAACAACAACAACAAATAGGCGGGCGTACGAAAAGTTTCCGGCGCCGAAGTACCGGCTTGTTAAAGTTTAAGTGTTGGTGTGTCGGCACGGAGAGGCTGGTGGACTGTTTCCAGAATACGGCAACACAGGTGGCTTTGTGGGTCGAGCAAGGCCTCTAATTCAGAGGGGCCCAGATCCAACTCCTTTCTCTTCTGCTTACCAGCCCCACGTTCCTGGGGGAGTGAGGTAGCTTCTCGGAGCTTCCATTCCTTCCAAGACGGAGATGATAATCTCTCACGTATAGAATTCTTGTGAGCTATGGGAACTGCGTGTAGAGCACTGAGCACAGTGCCTAACAAACAAGTGTTCAGGAAAAAGTGTTACTGTTAAGGAGGCTTGCCTACCCAAATGTCAGACGTGGTGGCACAATGCAGAGGTGACCGCCTGTGTGTTACACTTTATTCAAAGAAACGGAAACATCGCCCAGCTCTGAGAAGGTGAGGAGAGGAAGAGGCGATAATCGTTTGAAGTGTTCCTCAGAGGCTGTACCTAGGAAATATGCTCTCCATAGAAGAATGGTTTGGGGAAAACAAACTGCTTGCCCTCATTATATGCCACCAGAAATGTTTTTTTTTTTTTTCTTCTCTGCCAGGTAAAAATTTGCAAAGTCGTCTTCTCATATTTGAAAGTCCTTGGGGAGCCCACAGAATGGGGCCCATATTCTAACTGACCACTCTTAGAAAAGTTCCTGTAATGGATATAATGCGGTATTTAGATTGACCAGGTGTCTCATCATCCCCTCTAAGAGAGAGAAATTGTACCCTGAGCACAGCATATCTGGTTGTTTACTGGGTGCCCGAAGCCTCGCAAAAATGCTGCAAGCACTGCCTAGAAATCTGGTGCTGTTAAGGCTGAAACAGTTCTAGAAGAGCAAAGGTCTTAAATCCTTTTATGCCACATGACAAAGCACCTCAAATTCTAATTAAGCAAAAAGCAATTAGCCACCCACAGATACTTAACGTTATCTCCCATGGTCAGGCAATCATCTCTATTAAAACCCATTTTAAAGTAAGGAGCAAACCCAAAAGCTCCATGGGCACACCCTTCCCACAAATCAATTACCCCTCAGACACACTCAGAGAAATACTCAGAGACAGGCTCTGTGCCTTGCAGAGAGGACTTTGGTGAAAGGATTGCACCAGACATGGAGTGGTTGCAAAAAAAGAAAAAATGGAAGAGGCCGGCAGCAAATGTGACAATTCGAGGTAACAAAATCCACTCTCAGTGGGGAACTCTGGATCTCTGGTGGGCTGGACAAAGCAAAACGAACTGAAGCCTCAGCTCTCCCTGGTCTTAGAATTCTCTGGTTGGTACAATAATCAGTGTGTCACTCTACCCTGAGAACCACATCAAACAAAAGGGTTGCTGCTGCCTGCTGGAACTAGAGCCCAGCTTCATCCTGTGTGACCAGATGACTGTCCAAATGATGCTTCACGGGAGGACTGTCCTCTCCCATGTCATGATTTGTCAATGAACAAAAGGGTTGCTGCTGCCTGCTGGAACCAGAGCCCAGCTTCACCCTGTGTGACCAGACGACTGTCCAAACTGATGCTTCACAGGAGGACTGTCCTCTCCCATGTCATGATTTGTCAATGAAGTGCCAAGGGAGTACCCTTGGAGGGTTCACCATGAGTCCGGTCTACTCATGTTCATGTGCTTTCCCCAGCCCAGTTAGGTCCACTCCTCCCCTACGACACCCTTTAGTGAAGGGAGCCCACTGTTGCCAGCCCGAGGCCATTACCAGAATTGGCAATAGCAACAGTTACACAATGGTCAATGGGTAAGTGACTGAGATTTAAGCACCTTGCTCAAGACTAGGTTTGTTTCTGTTTTTCAGTCCAGTCAAGTTAGTTCAATAACCCAGTACTTCTCAAATGAACAAGAGCCCTTTTCTCCCTATGTTTTGTTTTGTTTTGTTTTGTTGGATTTGGAATATTTCTCAATCATCAAGCAAATATCAAAAATGTTGATCTAGATCAGCGCTATCCAACAGAAATAAGATTTACAATATTCCTGGGAGCCACATTTTAAAAAGCAAAAATAAATGTGAAATAAATTGTAACAGAATATTTTATTTAACCCACTATATTAAAAATATTATCATTTTACCATATAATCAACACGAGAGATAATTAATGCGATATTTCACATTCTTTTTGTGTACATCTTTTCTGGTGCCATATTAGACTGCACAGATCTAAGGCTATGTTGAAATTGACATGGAAAGACTTTCACAATTCACTGTTCTATGAATAAGCAGTTTACCAAATTGTATGTGTAGCATGATCTCATTTGAACTTTATAAAAATCTACATCTATATGTTCAGATATGGATAGAAAATAATCTGTAAGGGAGAAGCCAGAAGGTAATAGTAGTTATGGTAGAATTATGAATGGTCTTTATTTTCTACTTTGTGCTTTTTTAGTATTTTCTAAATTGCTTTGCTGTAAACATGTACTTCTTTATCAGGAAAACTATAAAGCTAGTCTTAAAAAAAACAAAACCTCTCCCTTGTTTTAAGTTATCATACCCTTGATCCTGCTGGCACTGTAGCCATTACCCTATTTCCAGCTAACAGAAGGGATGGCCAAACAGTATGCCCAGCCGCAGCCCCTCCCTCCAGCCCCAGCAACTGTCATACTTACAGCCAATCATCATGATGGCCACCGCAAAGATCTTCTCGATGTCTGTGGATGGGGCGATGTTCCCAAAGCCCACGCTGGTGAGGCTGGTCATGGTGAAATATAACGAGGAGATGTAGACAGAATTCTTGCTGGGACCGCCTTCCCACTTCCCTGAGCCAGACCCATTAAACTGGTAAGGGGTGCCAATGTCCATCGCCAGTTGGTACAGCCAGCTGTTGTTGCGGATGGTCTTGGTGTCCTCATCGAAGATCTCATAGTCCCCGATGCTGTACCAAATGCAGGCCATCCAGTGAGCAGCCAGTCCGAACACACACACCAGCAGAACCAGCACGGCCGCTCCATATTCGATGTAGTGGTCCAGCTTGCGTGCCACTCGCCCCAGACGGAGAAGCCGGACAACCTTCAGAGAGCTGAACAGGCTGCTGATGCCCTGGAGGAAGAGGAGCACAGCATCAGGGCCAGGAACCAAAGACACTGCTCCATCCCTCCACCCTGCCAGGGCAGCTTCCTTCAGCATCGGGTATTTCCAGGAGATGCAATATTATGCAACCCTTAAAAAATTGGTTTAAAATAAGTCATGCTATGGAGAAATGTTCACACATATTTGTATAGTGATTCACAGTATAATTAGAATTTTATTCCAAGATGTATGGGAGGTTTCCATTGAAAAGCAAATAAAAAAACAAAACAAATAAAATTAGAATTTTAACTTAATTATATTGTGCATAAGTATACAAATATATGAGGCATTTCTTCATATCATAACTTATTTTAAAACAATTTTAAGGGTTGTGTAATATTTCATATTAAGTAATATGAAATATTTTAAGAGTTTCATAGTACTTAGTTCATATTGTATAATATTTCATTCTAATTCTATTGTGCATAAGTATACAAATATTTACGTGTTGAAAAATGGTCAGGAAACATACATGGAAAGATGCAAAATATTAACAGTGGTTATCACTGCACTGTCAAGTTATGGAATTACAGATAACTTTTTGTTATAGTTGTATATATTTTTGTTACACTTCTATATATTTACTTAACTACTATCATTAAAATTATTCCTTTTACAATATTTAAAAAATAAACACCAGTTTTAAAAAAGATAAAAATGAATTAAAGACACAACTAAGAAGAACCAAGATTCTGTTTTCTCAGAAAAGTTACAAATTCTTGGAAGACTACACCGCAGCTGTCAGGCCAGCGGTTATATAATCTTACATCAATCAGGGAATCTCAGAGCTAGAAGGAAACTTCTGGTTTCACCTGGTCAAGTCTCCTTCCTCCCTTCTAGATCCCACCAGGACAGGTATACCCTCCGAATCGTAGTTCTTTAGGGAATAGCCCTGTGGTAGGGGAACATCAGACTCGAAATCTGGAAAACGGGATCTCAGACTAACTTGCTACGCCAATTTGGACAATTCGGTTACCTCTCAGTTCCCATGTCTACACTTTGAGGGTGATGGACTCAAGGCTTGCCAAAGCTCCAAACGCTAATCGATTCATCTCCAAAGGGAACTGAAACATATTACAGAAGCTACACCATCCCTAACCTTAAAACTCCTATGTTGCATGATTCCAAGGTATAGAGAGAGAGATTTCCATTAGCTTTCCTACTTCCATGAAGAAAACAAATGAACAAGCAAACAAAATAGAGACATTTCTTTGAATCAAGACTTGGTTCCCTTTACATAGCAAAAGTCCAAGCAGAGCGAATGATTTCTCACTATTTTAAACACTGGACAGCTGCCAAGTCACTGCTATTCTTTCTTGTCCCCCATACCCTTAATGACAACCACCAAGGGTCAGGTTGTGCCACAGCCAGAAGGAAAATGTGTAAATGCCTCAGAGTCTCACCAGGGCCGCTGCTTCTTCCTGGTCACATGGCGAAACTGCATTTCCCAGCCTCATTGCATCTGGCTGGGTCTCTGGGACTAGTTTTCACTAATGGAACGTAAGGCAAAATGTCTATCACTTCCAGGTCAAGGCAGCTAAAAGTAAATGTACTTTCTCTACATGTTTCTTCTTCCCCTGACATGCCTTCCATATGAGGCTAGTGCGACCTTCAGGACAGTATTGAAGACAGTGGACGTACGCACGGGAGAAGCCTGGGTCCCTGAAAGACTTTCTCCCTTCCACCAACCAACTTGAATTGTATTGTGATGTGAATGAAAAAAAAAAAAACTTCTGAAATAAGCCACTGAAACTGAAGGGGTATTTATTCCAGTAGCTATCATTACCCTTCCCTGATGGCTGAGCACAGAAACCTATGCAACATAGCCTTGTCAAGAAAGACCACAGGATCAGGTTGCCACACAAATTATTTTTGTTGGGGTGAGGGTGAAGAAGGTGGGACGTATTGCTTTTTTAAAATAAAACAAATAAACAACAGTTTCATAGCCATAAAACTTACAACAAAAATAATCATTTCTTGTCTAACATATGGATAATGGATAATAATGACTTTTTCTACATCAAGGGACTATATCCACAGGGTCAGTTCATCCAAACCTTTGGTAAATTTAGAAATAGGGTCATTGGAGATACAATTAGTTAAGATGAGGTCCTTCCTGGGTCCTCTTTTCCCTCCATGTGCTTTTCTCAAAAACCTACCATGCAGAGAAGACTGAGAAAATCCCTCATATTAAGATGCAAAAGGCCAATGAGGGTAAATGAATATCATCTCTCTATAGGGTATTTGCATTTTAACAGAGGAAAATCAACTTCCAATAGTAGGATTAAAAGCACTGACAGCCTGGAAGAAGGAGATATTTTGGGAGGCCAAGGAGCCTTTTTGATGACTCAGAAATCAAACACTTGTAAGCAGCCACCTACTCTCCACCTCCTCATAAGGAGGTTCCTGAAATCATCTTTCAAAGCGGTTCTACTCTGAAGCAGAACTTACTTCCCTGAGCAAAACTGCCTTGTCATTTTTTCCTCACTCATATTCAATTCAAAGCAAGATTTATGAAGAACCTACTATGTACTCCTTGTGCTAATGCTACAGGGAAGAGATTAAAATGATATTATCTTTGACCTCTCGCTCACTATTGTCTCTTCAGTACCTGGAAGATGCTTGATAGGAAGAAAAGAGGGAGGAAGCAAAAGCAAATAACTGGTGAGAGAGGCAAGTTATGATCGGTGAAAAGATATCTCTACAGAATAGTCATAGAAGTTGACAGCTGAGAGGGAGCATAGAAGTCATCTTATAGTCCATCATCTGTGAAGTCCAGAATGGTCCTTTGGAGCTCCCTTAAGGAAAGGCCATTCAGCCTCTCCCTGAACTCTCCTCCTAACTGCTATCTTGAAGATCCCATTCTGTGGCAGTCATTCATGGAGATGAAAGAGTGGGCTCCCATCACCTTTCTCATCTCCCTCTGCTCCATCTGCACTTCATCCCTCCTCCCTTCTCCAAAGGCCACCCCAACACATGCAACCACTACCCAAAGACCATGCTATTCTCTAGCTATACATACCAGCTGTCTTGAGCATCCCACACAGTGGATGCAAATTTGCATCTCTGTGCCTGCTCAGACCGGCCCCTCAGCCCAGAATGCCCACCTTGCCCATTTCTACCAGCTGGTAGCTAGTTATCTATACTAGTCATCCTTCACTACTATACTGTCACTACTATACTAGTCGTCCTTCAAGCCTGCCACTACTTCTACCCTAAAGCCTTCCATGACTACCCTGTAGTCACAATCACTCACTCCTTCATCTGTCATGGCAATCTGTATCCACTACCACTTGAACACATCGCTTTGCATTATAGTTTCCTGTAGCCATTTCCTCAACTATGACAGGAACTACATCTTCCTGAAGACAGAAACCACTTGATATGCAATTTAAAAGCCTCCCGTATTGGACTGAACAGTGTCTCCCCAAATTAGTGTCTTTTCCAGAACCTCGGAATGTGACTATATTTAGAAATAGGGTCATTGCAGGTATAGTTAGTTAAGATGAGGTCATACAGTGGGTCTAATCTAATATGAGTTGTGTCCTTGCAAAAAGAGAAGAGACAGACACAGAGAGAGAAGACCATGTGACCGATGCTGCAACTGGAGTAATGTAATTCGAGCCAAGGATTAGAGGCAACACCAGAAACTAAGAGAAAGGCACGGAACAGATTCTCTCCCAGAGGCTTCAGAGAGAGAATGGCCCTGCTGACATCTTGATTTCAGATTTCGAGAACAGTGAGAGAATAAATTTCTGTTGTACTAAGCCACCCGCTTTATGGTAACACATCATGGCAGCCCTGGGAAACTAATATACCATCAGAGGGTCTAAAACCTTTTTGGAAAGGGTTTCAAACATTTTCTAAATTACATCGAAGAGTTTGGATTTTTTTTCTCATTTTAAGGAGACTTTGGAACAAAAAATAAGCACTTCCTCACTGTAGTATCTATCTGTATGTACACCGAGGCTCTATGACACCGTCTCATATAAGTTCTCTCTTATTGCATAACGGCTGGAATTCTAGCTGTTTAAAAGCATTTCAAGCTATTAATTTGTTTTTTTCTTATTGTCCTGAAATTCAGTAGATGCGATAAATAAAATTGAATACTCAAACTTTAATTTTTTTTTATAATTTTGGTATGCTAAAATCACAATAACACCATATGGTAGAGAATTACACTTTCCCAGTGACTTATTGTATCAGGAAACCAACCTCACATTCCAAATAATTCCAGAGAGTTCTTTATCACTACCTTAAGAAGAACCAAGAATTTTAAGCTGAGACGACATGGAGGAAGAGATGGTGAGAACCTGAGCTGGTAAGCTCGTCACTGACGGCCAACAACTATGACTGGAAGGAAGCCTTCTGAAATCTAAATCACCTCGATTGTGTGATATCGATGCAATTCAAATTGAGATGGACGTTTGGCAATTATTAGAAGCATTTGTGTGTGTGAACTATCAAGTTTTACCTATTCACCCAGCCTAAATAAATTGTTTCGTTAATTTGGGCTATGCCTTGCCTTCTCAACTAGTCAGACAATTTTCAACAATTTTCTGCTCGATTTTTTTTCTGCCATAGTCGTGGAAATAACACTGTCACAGACCCATGGCAGTGTGCTACAGAAAAGAACTACTCAGTCTCTCAGTCTTTCAGGCTCTGGAACAGTTCCCCCAGGCTTCCAGGTCTATGTGGTGACATGATGGCATTCATAGCAAATTCTGCAGGTAACTTTTTTTTTGGATTGCTTTCAACTTTACATTACTCATGATTATTCTCCTCCTGCATCCTCCTCCAGCTAAAGATCTCCTTCATACGCTTTCCTCTAAGTCTTCTGGAAAATGTCTTCATGTATAAAGAAATTCTCAGCCTCGACATCTTCATGGAACGTTCCCACCACCTTCTTGCTTTAACTGAAATCCAGTTCTCCCCAGTACCCTGTTTCTCCCCACGCTCTCCTTTACATC